CATCCCCTAGGGTGCATACCTCACGGACTTGGGGCTTATCCCAGCTCTAGGAGCTAGTCTCACCAAGCTAGATGCAGCAAGTTAAATGGACCTAAGTTGTGGCTCTGTGGACCCGTCTCTGCACAGGCCCTGGACCAAAGGCAAGATGCCATCATGTGTCTGATCCCCGGGATCCAAAGCTAGGCCATCAGACACACAACGGGCTCTCTGCAAAACTATCTGTTGAGTCCAGGGCCATGGATAAAAATACCTCTCCATGCCATCTCCAATAAGCTCCTCTCCATCCTCTTCTTCCTCTAGTGGCCCCTCTGTACCTAGCAGCCCCTCAGACTCATCCTCAAAGGGAGGAAGGTCACGACCAGGGCTGGAGGTCAGGGCATCAGTGCGCCGGGAGCTTCGGCCAGGGCTGGAGGTGTGAGGGTCATTGCTTCGCCCACGCAGGGCCGGGCTGGATGCCACAGTGAAGGACTCGGATGATTCCTGCAAGAGAAGCAGTAGCTGCTAAACACCTAGGAGGTAGGTGAGGACCGAACTGACTTCCTTTTTATCATAAGGAGGACTTCCCTCCTGTCTCCCTGTCCACCAGTGACTCTGTCCTGACACACACCAAACCTCGTGCAGCCTCAGGACCCCTTGCTGCTGCCTGTGCCTGGAATGCCCCCCACTAAGCTCTGGGCCAATAGCTTCTCAACCCACAGGAACCAGCTCCGACGTCATGTCCTCACAAGATCCGGGTTACTCAGGTTTCCCTGAGTTTTCTTCATTTGAAATCACTGGGGTTGTGGTCACTTGCCTCCCCCTTAAGCATGCATTAGACCCATGTGAGCTCCCAGTGTGCCAGGTACTGTGACAGGAAATGGGACACAGAGCCACCAAAACATGAGGTCTGGAACTTGATGACTGGTGGAGGGCATAGATGGTGAACAAGACGAGGGACGAGGGAAAGACAATAGGAGGTGCAGGAAGACGTGCGGGCCTGTATGTCCTGCGTACGCCCAGTAAGCACGCGCGGAATGAATAAACGGTAGGGGCCCGGCGGGACAGGCCGCTGCAGGGGAGGGGGGTGGCCAGGTGGACTCCAACCGTGCGGGTCCCACCGGCCTCGCGGGCCCCACAAGACGGGCGCGAGGAAGACAAGTGAGCCGCGCGCTGCAGCCA